GTGTGTGTGTGTGTGTGTGTGTGTGTGTGTGTGCGTGCGTGTGTGTTGTAAACAGGGATGTATTTGAGGGAAAACCCATAAGGGTCTTTTTAATTAGAAAAAAATAGAGCTTATACGTACAATATATTCTGTACTAAATCAGTACCGGCTGTAATGATGTGTACAGGCTTAGGTGTGTTGGCAGTCTATGCATCTGGTGTTGATTCAGACTTGTGTCAGTGTGTGTCCATGCGTGTGTGTGTGTGATCATGTATAGTCATGTGAATTCATCCATGAGCAAGAAACAACACTGTCCACCTGAGCGTCCTCGTAGCTGTATCTGCCGGGGTCTTTGAGGTTCTGGCTGGTGCGCTCGAAGCTGTGAGAGTCCAGGTTGATGGAGCTGGGCGCACCCTCGGCCAGAAACTCCTGCCAGATCTCCTGTGCCCTGGAGGACACTTCCTGGAGTGGCCGCCGTTTCAGATCCTGCACTGCTAACCAGAACCTACAACAGCATCACATCCAATCAATAACAACTTCCCCGAAATATAGAGAAATATATAGAGATACTGTATCCAAAAAAATGACAGTTCAGCTGCCTGTCTTGTTATATTTCCCCTGCTGATGATGCCATTTATTGTGATTACTGAATCAATTTGATTATTTATGAAATATGAAGATTTCTATTATATACAGTATACATAATATGCACCATTAAAAATGTTGCTTGCATAAAATGAGTGTGTGCTATAATATATATAGTAAAGCAAATTTCTCGATACTGTTGAGTAAACATTTAATACAATTACCCTTTCCATAATTTACAAAGTTTATGTAAAATCTTAAATCAGCAAAGTAACAGTAAAATGTAGTTGAGTAGAAGTACAAAGTAACATAAAAAGGAAATACTCAAGTACAGTAAATACTCAAAACTGTACTATGCTACTTGATTAAATGTAGTTTCCTACACTGTGCATGGTATTAATAGCATATGTGTATCTGAAAAGTATGAGGGAGTTATAGTAATTAGAAAAACTGTAGTATCTATGCAGAAAGATGCCCAAAATCTAATTAGATCACCAAATTTCTAGTATCGTTTAGTTATTGTATTGCATCATTACTGACACATTTTACAGACAAGCAATCATGTGATCCATTGTTAATATAAAAATAATGATTATAGCAACTTTAAGAAAGGCATGAGGTACAATGTCATTCTCACCTCAGGTTTTCTGAGCTGAACTCTGACTCGAGGAACTTCAGGAACTGGTCTCGTCCTGCCGGATCTTTCAACGCCTCCTCCAGAGAGAAGCCCCATTTCTTCACACGCTGCTGGCTGGGGTCACGACTGCTCAGAATAAAACAGATTTGAAAGAACAGAATGAAATGTTCATGGTGTACATAGAGCAGAGGCCAGAATGTCAGAGCACAGTAAACCTTTGGGAATGCCAACATTAATTCTCATTTGAGACAAGACAGAAACAGACAGATCCTTAAGCATCTAGGTCACAAGCACCGAGAACTACGCTTCACCTGACCTCAGTGTTGGTTTAAGCATCATCAGCCTCCTGTGAACTCTCAGCTCACATCCCAACACGGCCCCCTCCAGCCTCACCTTGCCTCCAAGTCCCAGAAGGAAGCGTCATCACTGATCCAGGGGTTGGAAGGCTCTGTGGCCGACACGAAGGGGTCATATTCCACGAACTGCTCCGTGTAGCTCATCAGACTGTCGGCCACTTTGGAAACCTTCATACAGTGTCTGTCCAGCTGGATGTTCAAGAAGGTAATCTGATGGAGGGGGAGAGAGAATAATGTGGAAGCTAAATAAGGTAACAGCTCATCAGTCTGCGTCGCCGACTGTCGTTATGATGGATGGGTGAGGCCGACTGGTGGTAATGACCTATGGAGAAGACTTTCACCCCATGATTTACCTCCTTCTGAACGTCCTCTCTGGTGGCCTTCCTGGTCGGCTGGGAGCTGATGTGGATGGGACTCGGCTGGCTCTGGCCATCATCTGGAACCCCGTAGACCGACTGAAGAAGACGAGAGACATGTTTTGTATTTTTTTTGCTTTGTAATAAAGATATTTCTATAAGATATTAAGTGTTTTTTTAGATGTTTGGCATTTTGTAAGAGAAGAAAGTCAACAACAAATTGTAGTTTTATATATACATAAACAAAAATATATATAGATTATTTTTCTTTTATCATAAAAATAGTAAACACTGTGGAATAGGGCCTTGAAGCATTTAGGGAGATAACATTTACACAAAATGTAAACGAGTTGTTACAAATTTGAAATAAAAGGTATTGGTGGCTGGTCAAAAACATTCTTTTGGAGTGGTGAGGCGGTGCTGAACCTCAGCATTTCAAAACTAGTGAAGTCATAAACCACCGGTTTTATAGGAAAGGTTTGTTAAAAAACAGTATTGAGATAATAATTATATTAAGGTTTGGAAAGCTGTCATCTTTTCCTGTCCTCACCTTTTTTACCCTGTGTGGGTTCCTCTCTCTCCGGCACTTGCGGATGTCCATCTCTGTGGTGTTGACACAGCCCGGCTGTGGGAGGCGACAGGAGACAGAACGTGTTCCGAGGTCAGATAACGATGGATCTCCTGCATGCATTGTCTGCACCTGTCCTCCTCACACAATATAATACCGTTTCTCTATTCAGCAATGCCACCCTCACAAAAGGCTTGTATGTAAAGTGACTGGCACCAAATATGATTCTGCTACCCACAACAAAACAGGGATCTCGGCTGAAGAGTGTGTTGAGCTGAATCTGCTGTTTTCAGACTTTAAATCCTAAAATGGTCTACCCACATAACAGCCCCTCTTTTCTTTCTTTCCTCTTTGATCATTTCCATTTTTTCCACTGTTGCAGCATCTGACCTCCCTTTCCTTTCCTTCAGTCATGACGTCGGCTCTAACTTACCACTGGTCGATGGACGTCCCAGAATGCTCTCTCCTGGCTGTCCAGGATCTTTCTATCTGCCTTGTCCTTCTTCCTGTCAATCCTGTCAACAAAGGAGCCACTTATTTACAATAATATATAAACATCGAACAAAAAGTTCGGAAATTAGTGTTTGGTAGATTATTTCTCTGTTGTAACAATGCTTCTTGGCAATAAATGTTATACCGTTGGAAAGACTGTTTATTTACCTTTCAAACGGTGCCCCATTTGTAAGGAACATGCATTTCTGGGATGAGCAGCACAGCTGAGTATGTGAGTAATTTGCCAAATCTTCTCTGCCAATGCCAAACAGCTTATTTGCTTATTTGCCATTGACTCTTGTTTGGTGGATTGGATGATTGAAGTCTATCAGTAACAAGGAAGAAACAAGACATATTGGCAATTTTACAATTTATTCATTTAACAAACTGGAGCCTCAGTAGCGTGTGGAAGAACCATACACAGCCACAACAGCCTGGCACCTCCTCCTCATGCTGGTCACCAGCCTGCTCACACACTGCTGTGGGATGGCATTCCACTCCTCAAGCAGGATTTGTCGCAAGTCAGCCAACGTGGTTGTGTTGGTCACTCTGGCACGAACAGCTGGTCCCACAAGTGTTCAATTGGGTTGAGGTCAGGACTGCTGGCAGGCCATTCCATCCTCTACTCCCAAATTCTGGAGGTAGTCTCTGATAAACCGCTCTGTGGGGGCGAGCGTTGTCATCTTGGAGGATGGAGTTCGGTCCCAGACTGTGGAGAAATGGGATTGCTACTGGTTGCAGAATCTCATCACGATATCTCTCTGCATTGAGATTGCCTCCAATGAAGACAAGCCTCATTTTTCCAGTGATGGAGATGCTGCCCCACACCATCACACTGCCTCAACCAAAAGGTGTTACTCTATCAGTGCAGCAATCAGCATAGCGTTCTCCCCGTCTTCTCCACACTTTGACCCTACGATCCAACTTCCTTAGCCAGAATCTGGACTCATCGCTGAACATAACGTTCCTCCACATGTTCAGGTTCCAGTGCAGGTGTTGCCGACACCAGCGCAAATGGGCCTGACGGTCAATAGCAACAGCAGAATAAGCTGTTTGTCATTGGCAGAGAAGATTTGGCAAATTTTTCATGGGCGCAACCCACATACTCAGCTGTGCTGCTCATCCCGGAAATGCATGTTCCTTACAAATGGGGCACCGTTTGAAAGGTAAATAAACAGGCTTTCCAACGGTATAAAATGTATTGCCAAGAAGCAGGGGCGTTTCTAGGATTCAAAGAAAGGGGGGGCTTAGCCCCAAGGGGAGTGGCATGTTTGCGCCAATTTTTTTTGGGGCCCATTTGGGGCCGTGGATATCCATTGTTTCAGACAGTTCATAGATTGGTTCAATCAGAAAGAGTGTGATTTTGCTCTGTAGTTTTGCTTGCATTCAGTATATGATAACACAAGAGACAGAATTTCAGGGTCATAGTGAAATTTGACAACACAAATATGAACTTTTCTCAAATAAAGAGAGAGAAATAATGTTCCTGCTTGTAAAGGAAAGACGGATAAACTAGCTTTCATATCCGCGTCACTCCCAAATCCTAATTCTCAAAGGGGCCGCACACAATGGATGGAGAATGGACCTGACAGTATCAACTTTATATCGTTAAGTATGATGATATGCTATTGGATTGTAATTTGAAACGGGAGAAAACATACAAACCAGAACACACGCACATATGTAGCATGTTACAGTTATAAATAACTTCTCCATGTGAGAAACAATAGTTTCATTTAATGACATCACCAAAAAAAAAAAAAAAATCTTTTTTTTTTTTTTTTTTAAAGCCAATAATGCAAAATTATTTGGGGGGGCTGAAGAACATTTTAGGGGGGCTTCAGTTCGATGTTTATATACACCTCTGTAATATCAGGTCAAAAGCAATAAATCAGGCCCCGTAATTTAATCACACACTCTCACAAACACACACACACACACAGCTAGCCACATACATGTTTATACCGTTTACAGGGCAGACCAGGGAGCACAAAGCTAGTGTGTGGGTCTTAACCTGTCTGCTCGCCACACAAAGTGATGCCAGGTTTTGAACACTTATTGCTTTCCATATCACCCCCACTTGTACAAAACAGTGGCCAAAAAACAATGACAAGATTTTTGGAGACAAGAGAAGAAAGCTCTTTCCTTACAGAAAGGATGCAAGAGGCATTGATGCTGCACTTACACATGCAAGCCACCAGATGGAAGTCTTTCTTAGAGATAGAAGTTAAGGGGAATTGTGTTTGATTCATTCCATAGGGGGGATGCTTGATGTATTTTACGCATGTAAGCCTGCAGTCAAAGCAAGGCATGAAAACAGAGCAACTAACACTGCAAACTGAGGCGTCTTCTCTTCCTAGGGGAAGAAACCCTGAAATTACGCATGTAGCAAAACGTTATTATGAATGTATAAACCTGATCGAATTAACATCTCTCCATTTCCTGTTGTAAGTGTGTCACGTTAGCGTGACTCTGAAGTGAAGAGGCGACATGTTGTTGTGACTCACACATACACTCATCTACTCACTTCACTTGAGCCTCAGCTTGCATGAAGATAAATTCCCACTTCCGGGCAAAAGCCCTCTGCAGCCGGGCAAGGTTTTCCTGGGGGAACCAATCAGACACGCCGTTAGGGGAGCAGGTTATTTGAATTCAAGGCCTTTAGATGATTACGTTATCCATTTACCGTTATGGCCACAGCTGCCATAACTTTGGATTACCATTGTTGAGATGAGGCGACCGCTCACTAAGGTGTCCCTGAACAAGTCACTGAGCTGCTGATGCCACAACGTGTTTGGAGTTTCACGCATAGCTAATGTAATCAAATATGTTATTTCTTCCAGACAGTTAAATGAGAAGATTGACACCACTGTCGGGTCTGTACTCTAAATATGAAGCTATAGCAAAGTGCCGGTTAGCTTAGCTTAGCATAGCATAAAGACTGGAAATGGGGAAACAGCAAGCCTGGCTTTGTCCAGAGGTAAGAAAACTCACCTGCCAATACTTTTAAAGCCCACTAATTAACATGTTATATCTCAATGGTTTAGTCCGTACAAAGAAGTCACATTTTTAGATATCTCTGACGTGAGACACAGCAGATAACAACAAGCAATGGCTGTGACTCATAAAACAAACTCACGACTTAATTGAGTGTAACTCATCACGATACATTTTGCTTGAGTATAAGAAATAAAAGCTTCACAGGGTCTTTAAAACTCCACAATGTACACATATCAAAGCTTCCTACCAACATTTTCATCCTTAATAACACCACTCAAACAAGCATCTGTTAAATATACAGTACATGACATCACTACAAAGAGAGAAAATATTCTGAGTACCAACTAGCGAGCATGTTAACAGTGAGAGCAATGAGGCCTGGAGGCAAAAAGTGACCTGATTAGGAGTGAAAGTAAGTCTACTGGACAATAACTGCAGAGTGATTTAGAATATGGAAGTGCAGTGGATATTGTATAACAGCAAGAGATCAGCACTCCAGTAATGCCCTTCTTGAGACTGTATTGATCTGCTGATGCAAAGCAGGCCTATAGATATTTATATTTGGGTACAGTAACTGACTGCATTGTAGTCTGCCAAATGGTGCTCCCGACCTTTGACAGATTTGTATTTAAGTCTGTAATTCGATAATGGATTTTTGCTGGGATGAATGGATTTTGTCATTTCAAGGCCCCAGAGGACAACGTTACAGCTCTTTTGTTTTTCAGCCATGTGAAAGAAAGCAGGAGATTCAGAGTGTCATCATATTATGGTCTCTGCACAATCACAGTACTGAACTGAGAGCTTCCTGGCAATCGCTAAACAAAAACAGTGTACTTACAGCCTCATAGTCAGCGAGCTCAAGCCTGGCCTTATTCTGCATGGTGCGCTTGCACAGGTAAATGGCTGGAGGAGGGGGAAGAGGAGAAAGAGAGAGACATGAAGAGGGTAATAGAGTTAGTCTGATGAGTTGTCTTTTTTTTCTTTACTGAGGTCCCAACTGTGTGAACGAAAAGTAATGAATGTTTTGATGGAGCAGGCAGGCGATGTGTTGTCTTCTAGAATAACAAGTCTCAAGTAAATACCACGCAGAGAGCCTTAGTTATATCAGTGACCGTCCCTTTATTTTGTTTGGCTAATCTTATCCCGCAGGATTCTCTGTAGCGGCCGCACCTCAGGGCCAGATGCATTACAGGGAATGGGTCATGTGGATCAACCCTCAACAGCGTCAACAACAGATCTACTGTGCGAGTTGTCTATCAGAGAGAGAACTGAAGGCATTAGCAAGATCTTACTGGTTTGGAGAGAAAAGCAAAAATTGAGACAATGTGTGACTCACCATAGTCTGTGTTCTCAGGCTCCCAACAGTTTGAAGGCCAGAAGTATGGAGACTGATGAAAACAGAAGGGGATGACACAGAAACAGAGTGTGTTTATTTATGCAAATAATCCGAATTACATTCTTTTATAGCCATAAGTGTCTAGATAAACAATAATATTCTCCAATAGGAATGATGGAATCACATTTCTCCCACCACCCACGCTCCCTCTGCACTTCCACACAAAGTCAAAAGACAACTCATCACTTCACGATTATCCTTGACGTCCGCGTGCTGCACATAACTATCTGGGGAGCAATGATATCTATATTCTCTCTATCCATATTTAATTGTCTATTGCAACTGACATTACACGTTGGAAGTTCATTCTCAAGTCCATTAATAATGAATCACTCGCATCTATCATGCATTCTTAATAACAGGGCAGAATTAGAAGTTGGTGGCACTCAACCACATTTTTCATTCCCATTATTACTCATAACGTTAATTAGCATAAGAGCAAATGGCGCTGATGAACGTGCTTGTTTGAGTGTAATGAACAAAAAGGTCTCATTAGCATTATAAACATCATAGAGGATAAAGTTGAACTATAAGACTTCACTGCACACACAAAATAAGCAAATTTGTGACAAACAAAGAGAAGACAGTTGCCGTTAAATATGGGTCTTCTTCCAGAATAGTATCCATTTAGAGACTAGCAAAAATAAATAAATAAATCCCCTGCCATTACGCCTAACAGCACAGCTATGGAGACCGGCCAATGCATTTCTAATGCACCACGGACTCTTTATTACATGATGACGTGGGCCTGTTGCATCACGACAACATCAGAGGGAATATTTTTAGCCCTCGCTGAATGAGCAAGTGTGAAAAAACGCTGCCCTCCCTGCGCTGGCACAATAATGGCTTTTAATCTTGAGCAATGGAGGTGAAGATAAATGCACACGGAGGTAGATTGAGAGGGAGGAGCAGGTGTAGGCTGGTGACAGTGAAAAGTGCAAAGCCAGAGCGCAGCCAGCTCAGCGCTTCCCATAGGGGAGTTTGCCCTGTGTCGTTAGCCAAGATTAAGATGCGAATGGACCAGTGACGGTAATGAGTCATCGTGGAGCCCGTGAGCGATCAGAGGGACCTGTCAAAGTTCATGCTGGATCAGATGGAGCGGAGGAAAAAACCCTCTTCTAACAAGCTGCACGACTATCTGCGGCCCCACCTCCTACTCTGACGCAGCGTCCAGCAGGTATAGACAGGATCGACCTTGGTGTGGTGAGTAATAGGCTTAGCAAGGATTGCTCTCATTAGAATCACGCAATAAACATATCCCTATGACAAACTACCATCACGTCATTACTCTATATTTAGTGGCCTCACAACACATATCAAGGATACACACATAGAGGAGCTTCCTGTACCTGAAAGCGATAAAGGGTTCCATCATCTTTAAGTGTCAGGACATGGTCAGAGATGGGGAAGATGTAGCCATGGGCAGCGACAAGACTCCCAAGGTGGATGGCTTCAGCTGTCGACATGAGAGAAAGCCCACAGATGGGAGGGGGGGGGGAAGCATTTGAAATTACCATCCTCTTCAATTGAGCGCTATTGTGCTGACATGTAATTTCTCAGCAGGCTTACCTGGATCCTCAATGGAGAGGTTTTTCATCAGCCACTGAACAATGTCCGCCCCTGGCATTCAGAAAAGGACTTTGGTTAGAAGTGGCGTCACAGTTCTACATGAGCAATGGTTTACGACAAAGGCTGCAAACACAAATAAGCTTTAGTCTTTGTGATTCATCTCTGTTCAAAGCTGTTTGTCAAAGCTGAGTAGGTGTCTGAATATAACATAATGTTAACAGGTCTCTCTCTCTCTCTCTCTGTGTACAATATTTGGCCCGGTCATTGCGCATTGGCGGAGGCTGCTGGGAAAGATTGAGAGGTCATCGGGCCTCGGGGAGCAATGCGAAGCAGTGACTCCGAAATAACCTTTGGGAGAGCTAGAGTGACCTCGCCGTCCAACGCTGGTGACTCATGTCGTACACAAGCACATACATGTACAAACACATGAAGGAGGACGGCGCATACACACAGATGGACACAGACGGGAAGGAGAAAAGCGTGACAAGGGCAGCATCTCAGTTGCCTCAGTGGCTTAGGTCTTCACCTGCTTCCAACTGTTGTAGCAGTAATTTAAATGAGCCCAAAAAGTCATATTTGCTTGTCTGAACCTGACTTGTAAGTGTTTTTCTAGACAACAAAACAAACACACGCACACACAATCATCATAACATCATGGCCTATGCACACAAACACTAACCTGAAACCACACTGGGGATCTTGGAGAGGAAGCTTTTGACAGTCCGGATGGCAACACCTCCTGCTTTCTCATCTTGTATTCTTGTAACAATGTCTTCAATCTGTGGAGAGGCGAGAGGGTGAATGTGTTAAAGAGGAAAACAAAGTAAGAAAAATAAATCACATTATATTTTTGCCTCAAACTACAAAACTGGGGTTATTGTGTATTTTTGTTTTTGGAATTAAATAACCAATGTAAGGATATTTTTACTACTTTTCAATCATAACAGGAGCTCTTTAAAGTCAAAAATTTGATTCAGGATTGAGTTAAAGCATCAACTGATGAACAAGAACAAGCTGTAAACCCATCATTTGCATTTTATCACTTAATAAAAGTTGCTGAAAAAGTTGCGGAGGTCTACGCTCTCCGAGTGCCCTTGTAGTTCTCTGTTGGTTCGTTACCATGAGTACACAGTAGACCTAGTAATCTGATCCATTATTAACAAATACACATAGATTAGAGCTTTCAATTCAGATTTAGTGAAAGTCTCATCTAACATATGCAGTTTTGATAGTAATCTAAATTGACACTCTGTGGAGTGCACTCTATAAAACTCAGACCTTAAAGATAGAACGGGTCAAAGGTTCACTAGATTAAATAGCTTTCTGACGCACAGACACAAACACACACAATATTTGTAAGGTAATAAAGCCACACGTCGGGGTGATTTATCTGTTTGATAAAGGGCTTCAGTCAGAAGCTTCGGCCGACTGAAAAAGACTGTCGCAGCCATTCCCCAGAGGCAGAGATAAACATCACACCTCCGACACAGCCAGAGCCGCAAACACATCACACACCAGCCACCTAAAATTAGGCTCCGCACAGCACAGCTCGCCACTACACAGGGAAGAGCACATACAGGAAACAAGCGAACATCCAGTCATTCAAGGATATGGACACGCCTGCACAAACACACACATACAGAACATACAGAAATCCATATACAGAGTCCTAAACACACATACAGAAGAAGGTCACTTATTTTAAACAAGCAGTGTTGGCCAAGTCCTTGAACAGGCTTTCTATTCAGCAGTCAGGTCAGGTCCTGTTTGGACGTGAGCAGTCAGTGTTCTGTTGTAGAAATCAATCTACATCAAAAAGATCTTGATTTTGCACACTTGCAGCCAACCGTCTGCAGTACGGTAGCCGGCTATTACATTCTTTATTGCCCACTAAGCATCTGTCTAGTAGCCAGGTTTTCAAGCCTTTGTGTCAAATGTGTATTTCATCTGTAAAATATGTTTGCTGGGAGGACTCTAGCATTTACATACAGTTCTTGATATACTTTAGTTCTGCATTTTGTAGCTGTAACACCAAAACAAATGTAAAATATCTACTGGAAAAGTGAACAGTAAGGTAAAGAGGTGGAGACTAGCGCAGTGCGCTACAGCACATTTACTAACCACCATTACAATCAAAGGTAATCATCTTCCCTGGCAAAGCATTAAATGGATGATTCATACAAGCACTCCATAAATCTACAACAAAACACCCAGATGCATATGGATTTAATAACACACATAATGCAGAGCCGAGAGGATGGAGAGAGCACTGCGTGGCAAGACAATTACCAATCTCTCACCATAAGTTTGAGAGAGTGTTTGGAATGAATTATTGAACATCCACTATAGAGAATTACTGCCTCAACTCTTGTTGATAAATCTCTCTCAGTCTGGGAGGGCGAGAGGAGATAGAGAGCTGCATCTGCCCTCTGTGTTTTGATCAAAGAATGGTATTTTAGCTCTGCTTTGGCCTTCATGTGAGCATAAACAGTTTCACATGAGCACAATCAGGGGCACGACGAATTAGCACCAACACATCACAATCTTTCCTTTGAAGACAAACCTTCCAAGCAAACCAACAGGGGAAAAGCTTTGAAATCGGCTCTGTTCGACCCACGAATCCTCAACTCCCCTGAGACAAAGCAACATGCGAAGGATTAAGTCCTTTTGTTCTGATGTAGTAATGGACCTTCGAATGGGTATAGCAGTATAGAAAGGAGAACTCATTATCTCCTTATAGGATGATAGCAGACAAGAAGTCCTTGGCACAGCTACAGAAAGTGCCCATCGTATCTCCTGGATGTACAAGCTAATGGTGTTTGCAGCTCGGTGTGGAGTGTTTTTGACAGATGAAAACATTTCTGCTAGCATGCGATAACAGCACTTTGCCCTTCGCTCTATAAATGATTATCAGGAGAACACTTGCGTATCTTGCCACCATATGTTTGCATTTGCTGCACACGTGTGTGTGCAAATTTGTACCAATGAATGGCTGCGTCTGTGTATGCTGTTCATATTATCTTTTATAGCTCTGAGGGCAGCACTAGCACTCTATGAGGCACATGTAGGAAGGTAAAGGTGTATGGAGAATGTGAGGGAACAGCTAGAGGTGAAAACCAACAACTGCAGCCACCAGTTAATGAAAAGCATTTACTCCACATTAATGTCAGGGAAGGCCTGCACGCTCTAATGTCGAAAACGAGATCATTACTTCCTTTTACATGGTTTTGTAATTGGGTTAACTTAATGAAGTCAGATAAAACCTAAATGAGAGCGTCAGTGACATAAATAACCATCAAGAAAATGCGACACGTTGAGCTGAGTGCGGAAACATTCGCTTCTCCTGCTAATTGAAACTACAGCCCCCTTTTTTTCCAAAAATGGCCAGAGATGAAGCTATTAAAAACGGTCCCAGTCTTCAGAAATGAGACAGCTGCTAAAAGATGTATCAGCCGGTAATGGCGCCATTAATGATTCAGCAGTCATCGGTGGGGCTCAGGCACACTTGTCATTGTTGAAAGACATTCGGGTCTGTGAGGAAGACGACGTCCAGGTGACAGGCGAAGAGTTATATTTTCTGGGCCTGGAGATAATTTATGACGTGTCAGCGAGAGCTGGATGAAGATGAAATAGGGATGAGGCTCGGGAAAGTTTTCAAGTTAGCCAAGTCATTCTCAAACACATAAAGTAACCATGTTCTTTCTTGTCCCGTTTTGAGTATTATATTATTCCTAATGTGACAGTAGAAGAAGAAGGCATTCTTCTGTTTATTTAAATCTGGAAAGAAAATAATAGCCATATTAAGAAACACTTCTAAATAAGTCTCAAGTACTACAGTGACATTCACAACAATGTCTATTCCTTCACAGTGAGCGACTGATGCACTTCCCAATGCATGCTCACACCTTTAGTGTGTTGTCATAAGCACTGCCTTTTGCAGTATTGATGTTTCCAGACACTTGGCTACTAGGACACCACTAGCATAGTAGCCTCTCTTGGCAGTAAGCCTGTAGCCTTCTTCGTTGTTCCATGTGTACATATTGTTCCCTCTAACTTCTGACTTTTTTTTGGAAACGTATTCTTATAGACATCAAATTGGAAGAGATTGTTTGATATCCAACCAATTGGGATTACTTTCTTAGACAGTGCCATTTTATTTCTATAAAAATAAATTAAAAAAAGACTCAAAATAAATGTCAGTTTTCTGTGCATTACTACATACTAAAAACATATTTATCTCTTTTAATTCTTCCTTTAAACAATCATTAAAACATTTGACTTTGCTCGTTCTGAAACACTGTTCTGTAGATCTTCTACAGACAACAAAAATGTTGTTTTTTCTAGTTGACGAAGTCCTTGTCATTGCCAATATTGTCACGTTGAGGTCTCGTCAAAATTCTCATCTTAAATTCTCCTCATTTACTCTCACCCCATTTCACAGAAAGGACACACGTCTCATTCTTCTTAATAATACTAATGCACTCAAGCTTTTATGCTTATTTTGCCTTCAGGCCACCACTCAATTGTATAATGTAATGACTGCAAAAACACAAAACAATTGCAGAGATATATTCACTGTGCACATTGTGTCCTGGCCTATAACTTGCTAGATATTATGAAGTAACTTCTCCAAAGTACACAACCTGTCACACGTTGACCTCTGCACCATGCCATGTGCATAATTAAGTGAGATCCAGCTGGTGTGTGCTGCCCTGGGGAACGAAGTGAGAATAAAGCCTGCTGGAGAGAGAACACCCCCATCTTCTCTCTTCCATCCCTCC